AACCTGAAGGTTTCACTCAACCTGGAAACGAGCATTTAGTTTGCAGATTGAAGAAATCTTTGTACGGGTTGAAACAGTCTCCGAGACAGTGGTATAAACGGTTTGACTCCTATATGATCAAGATTGGCTACAACCGATGTGAGTATGATTGTTGTGTCTATGTTAAGAGCCTTGATGATGGTTCTTTTATTTTTCTATTACTGTATGTTGATGATATGTTGATTGCTGCGAAGAACATGGATGATGTTATCGGTTTGAAAACTTTATTGAGTCAAGAATTTGATATGAAAGATTTAGTTGCTGCAAAGAAAATTCTTGGAATGCAAATTTACAGGGACAGAGACTCAAGGAAACTGCGGCTATCTCAACGGGGTTATGTTGAGAAAATGCTAGAAAGGTTTGCGATGAGCAGCGCGAAACCAGTTAGCACTCCATTGGCGAATCACTTTAAACTCTCATCAGAACAGTGCCCTAAGACAGATAAGGAAGCTGAAGATATGGCAAAGGTTCCGTATTCTAATGTTGTTGGCTGCTTGATGTATGCGATGGTATGTACTCGTCCTGATTTAGCTCATGCTGTTAGTCAAGTTTGTAAGTACATGTCTAAACCTGGTAAGCAACATTGGGAAGCAGTCAAGTGGATCTTTCGGTACTTAAAGGGTACTGTGGGACATGGAATTGTTTTTGGGAGTCAGCGGGATAATCCTTTGGTTGTAGGATATGTGGATTCAGACTATGCAGGTGACTTGGATAATAGAAGATCTACGACATGGTATTTCTTTACTCTTGGTAGAGGGCCTATTTGTTGGAAGTCTACTATTCAATCTGTTGTGGCTCTATCTGCAACTGAAGCTGAGTACATGGCAGCGGCTGAAGCTGCAAAAGAAGCTTTATGGCTTACTGGTTTAGTGAAGGAGTTTGGTGTTCAACAAGGTGGAGTTCAGTTGCTTTGTGATAATCAAAGTGCTATTCACTTGGCTAAGAATCAGGTGTATCGTGCTAGAACTAAACATATTGATGTAAGGTTCCACAAGATCAGAGAGTTGGTTGCATCTGGAGAGGTTTTGTTTCAAAAGGTACATACTGATGAGAATGCCGCTGATATGTTCACCAAGCCAGTTACGACAGACAAGTTCAAGCATTGCTTGGACTTGTTGAATGTTTCGAGTTGTTAAAGAAGTAAGGTAACCCAACCCACATTGAAGTTTCCAAGGGGCATGATATTCGCCAAGGTGGAGATTTGTTAGGTATGACTCATAAATATACCAGTAAAGAGGACAGGAGATGGAGCGGAGTGAGCGAAGCGAACATCAACTGTCCTTATAAAGAAAGTCTCGTTGTGAGGTTACGAATTATGTGGGTTGGGGGTGCGGGGGCGTAGCCCCGCGGTACGGTACATGGTTGATTTTGTAATTATGTACCAGTGTTTTCTATTATAAATAGAGATGTAACCTAGACCTAAAATATCATTGAATAAAACTTCTAGCGCCGCCTAGGCACCGAGGACGTAAGCACATTGCCAAACCTCGTAAAATTCTCGTGTTCTTTTGTTTTCTTTACCCGTTTTCGTCAACAATTACTCACCTCGTTTTTGGGTTTCACAACATAGAATTGCCGAGATATAACCGACGCCGACGAGCTGCCGAATGAGATTATATGGGAAGACGGCAACAAAGAAGAAGCCTTTGGTGGTGGTGAGATGTGGTTTTCTGTAATGCAAGAGTTCCAACTGTTCGCCTTAAGTTGTTTCATTTGCCTTTTAAAGTCTTCGTCCATCTCATGAGAAGCTCCGACGAATGAATTACCATTGATACATGGATTGCATGCATAGTTTTCAGAGGAGAAAAAGTGAAAATATATCATGCATAGTTTGTAGATGGAAGCTGAGTTTTCAGATAAGTATACCCGATGTTATTATCGCAAACACCTTCCTCTTCATTGTTTTATATATCCTCATGTTCCTCAAAATATAGCAGATCTCAAAGTTCCTGAGTGACCTGATGAATGGTAAAAAAATTTCAATATATATGGCTTGCCATAATTCTACTTTTTGTCAACAGTTTGGGTGTGAAGTTCTATTTCACACAGTGAGAATAACAACCAGTCAAAGTGAGAAAATTTTAGTTTAAAATGACATGTAATAACGCCATTAACAAGTTAACAACGAGGTGACCAAACAAGTTTATTCTATAAAATTCACTTATAAAATTGAAAAATTTTAAATTTGAGTGACCAAAATGTAAAAGAAAAAAGTTGAGTGATGATTTGTGTAGTTTACCCTAATTTCAATATTTTTTATTAAGTTAATACAATTACAAAATGAACGCTCAATCCCTATGTTGCACTCGATTAACTTTTATAAAATGCAATCAAACCAATAAGTTAAATTACAATTTATTTTTAAAAAATAAATATATTTGTGTCATAGAGCCAATAATGATTAAAATTGTTTAATTATTAAATTTAAAAAATCCATTAATCACAATTTATTTTCATAAATATATTGACGAAAAAACAGTCATAAATTATCGAACGCTGTGCGGGACCGTCGTGCACTAACCCATACAAGTATCGTGATTCAAAGTCAAAGCTACCGCTTTGTAGTCTGCAGTGCTACAAGACAATTCAAGAACAGTTGGCGGCCAAAACTACCAGCTAATGTTACAGCAAAAGAAAATTCAACTCTAACCTCAGTGAATGATACTTTTATAACCTCAGATATACGGCAACAATGTATTCGTTCCAATGAATGAAATACATAAGTTTTGTCCCTCATAAATTAGTGAAATCTTATTTTTAATGAGATGGAAGATAGCTTGAAATGCAGCAGATTATGTTTCTCAAGGTAAGTGGTGGCCAAACATTTGTATGTATATTGTTGGTTTGCATCATAAGTAACATCTGAGATCTTGCATTGAGCATCAGCAACTAGCATTCATTCACTAAGAGGGGTGAGTCTTTGTATTGTATGTGCATGATCATTTATTGGTTGAGTCGTGATTATGCTGCATTACAAGACAGGCCTACCAAAAGAAAGAAAGCATCAAATGTCACACACACTTCGTACGATCTCGTTTGTCATACATAACTTCTCATTTCTCTAAAGCTTGAATTTACGCTCCTTGCTATATAAATACTTTGGTTTTAACTATATTTTTACTCCATATACAAAGGTTTCAACCATTAAATGCAATGATCTTGATTTACATTATGTAAACATCATATGGATTTGTTGCTGCTAACAAAAATAATTGATTTGGATCGGTATCCAAGTTAACAGGCCGGGTTTCTAAATGGTCAACTTTGGTGAGCATTTTTATGCAACTTTTATTGAAGGTACCATGAATTGATACAAGTTCATCTCTTAATTTTAATGTTTTTTTTTCCAACACGGATTAGAATTACTTTCAACTGATATTTATCAGAAATCTTCATTGCTCAACATGAAAGAGCTTCAACCACGCAATCCATAACGAGACATGATTAACCAATACATTCCTAACTAGATAGTACAAGCTCTAGGAGTAGGAATCATTTTACAGCTAACTCGAGCCTTTACTGCTGGAGAGTTTTTTCTTTTCCAAAAAATAAAACGAGAACATTTAATCACGAATTTAAGCAAAATAAAGCACCTAACCCAGCAATTTTACACTTGGAACTAGGGTTGTAAATCAGACGAGACAGATCGCGAGCTATCGAGATCGACTCAATCAAGGCTCGATAAATACTCGGATCGAATGGACTCGACTTGAATTTTTAACGAGCCAAAACAAATTACTTGATATTCGACTTGAAAAACTTGTGAGCAGCTCGGAAATATAAAATATTAAGATTTTATTTTTTTTAAATAAATTATTAATAATATTAATATTTATATATTAATTTTTTTAAATATAGTAAGATTTTCATGTATTTAAGGTTCGAGTTTGAGTTTGAGGCTTTAATCGAGTTAAGTTTAAGAATTTTTTTTCATTTCGAGTTGCTCACGAGCTTCGGTTCAAGATTTCGAGTTCGGGTTGAGCTTGAAAAATTTAAACTCGCGAGTTTTCGAATCGAGTCGAGCTCGCTCATTTACACCCGTACTTGGAACAAAATATACTTAATGATCAGCTAAACGAGCACAATCGCTTCTAGAAAATTTCTTAGTCACTATGACATCCCTAAATACCTCCCATGAAGACATCCTAATTTCTTTTCAATAAGATCATGAATGGCAGCAAATCCTTTTTCGCTGATCCCTGAAACGAACATTTCATTTTTACAAGGATTGAACTGAAGACTGAACAACTTATAGAACTCTGTTAACACTCTCCATACACCAACAATTGAGAGATAATTTGCAAAAAAAAAAACCATTATATTAGGTAAATTTCTTCTCTCATACTCTGACCAAATCATGGCAAGCAAAATACCATGGACAACGCACATCTCTTTGATAAATTATCCAAAAAGAACATTATTTTCAGAAAATAGAATCCAGAATGTTATCCGAAGCTAAGTACCCTAGTGTTGTCTTAAATTTAAGTAAAAATATGGACATGTGGCATTTGGATCTTGGACACCAATTCCCTTTACTTTCCCCTAGAATCCTGATTTCCATGATCCATGGAGTCCAACCGAACAAAGCTAACAGAAACCAATGGAAATAAAGATAATATAAAAAATCTCAAGCAAAGCACTGAGTGGACCTCATGCCTTCATTAATTTTTACCTACCACCACCCAACCAAAGTAGCCACCCCCACTCTCTCTTTGGGCGTGTGTGCTTCATCTCTCTATTCGTCGGTATTGATAGTTTTTTTCTGTTTGCCAAAGAGATTATTATCATTATTATATTATTTACTTTTTGTTAGCAGCCACATATTTTTAGTGCATCCAGCTTTCACATTTTGTGAAGAAAAAAGAATGGGGGAGGGGTTGAAGATGCTAAACTGTAATCACTAGTAGTGTAAGCATAATCATTTTTTATATGAACATTTCAATTTCATTCTTCTAAGACCCAGAAACACTTCATATTTCAACAATGGACAACAGGAATTCCTTCATCTTCTCATGAAACTTGTGAAAGCTGAAGATATGGGTATAGTTCTTCGAGCTCATCGAAGAAATCATTCTCTTCTGATTTCGGCGTTGAGGTTGTCGTTATACGAGGGCAAGACAATGGCTCTTCATCCAACAAAAACCCCAGCGAGTCATGAGTTTTCTCTACATTCCCGATGAAAGAATCTTCATTAAATGGGGATTGTAAATAGTGAAAATGATCTTCACCTGCCTCTTCATTGCTGCCTTCGTTTTGCGGTACATCTGGCTCTTGTTCTGAAACATCCGCCACCACCTGTTCTTGCTTACAATCGTCACCGCGGTTGCTTTGGGGTTCTTCCGGAGACTGTTTTATGTCGGCGGATTCGAGATCAGGGCCCGGATGGTTATGGCTAGCGGTGTAAGTGATGATAAGCAACGAAGCATCAGTTTTGCATCTTTCTACTTGCTTCTTGGCCGAACAACCCTTTGATGTGCTGCACCTGTAATACCCCCTGCATGTACAAAACCATCAAAATATTGTGAGGAAGAAAATTGTGTTGAAGAAGAAGAAGACCTGGGATAAGGAGATCCTTTGATAGGCTTTTGCCCATATTTCCTCCACGACCATAAATCCGAAGGTGGCCCTTCGTTCTTCACCTTCCCACCATTTTCCCCGACCTTCACTGTAACCACAGTCCTCTCGACAACCTTCCTGGTAATTACAACATGAACAAAACTATGTTATTTCTAAACTTTAATTATAAGAAATCTTCCTATATATGCTATAGCTAGTCAGCAACCAACCTTCTTTTGGATGCCTGAGTTTCATTTGGTTTAAGTTCTGAATCACCTGAAGCCATGGATTCCAATTCTGGAGGGACAAGACCGGCCATCTACACTTTCTGATCTTATATCATGCCAAAATGATCAAATGAGACAAGCAGAGCTGTTTGGAGATTTAACAAACAAAAGTTAAAGGGGGAAGTTAGGCAATAGGACATAAAGACCCAGCAACTTGCTTTCTTCTCAATCATGTCACTCATTAAATAAAAAGTTATCGGCAACAATGCAGGAATCGCCACTAATATTTGAATAAAAAGTTGAAGGGGGTAAATTATAGTATTTGATTACTTCATTTAAATTTTGTATAATTTATTTTAATAGAATTCAGAAAACGTAAAATTTATTAGTTAATTTTGTTTTTATTTAATTAAAATATAATCATTGAATTTTAATGTAACATAATGAATTTATAGAATTAAAATGGTAAACTACACAAATAAACACTAATATTTGAATAAGTTTCTGTTTGCCCCACTAAAGTTTCAAAATTAACTGGTTACTAAAAACATCAAATAGGTCCTTAAAAATGATTTTATGCCCAATTTATCTCAAAAGCTTTTTAAGTTTCCTAATTTTGTTCAGTTTGTGTATATATATAAATTTTAAAAATAAAACTTATAAATTAACTTTTTGGACATGAAGCAATCGAATATTTCGAATGACAAACAAAAAAATTCGAAAGCTTTTGGAATAAATCAGATATAAGATCATTGTTCAATGACCTATTTGATATTGTATTGACCAATTTATTACTTTTGAAACTTTAGTGGAGAAAAAGAAAATTTACTCAAACATTAGTGACTATTTGTATAGTTTATCCTTTTTAATTTAATAAATTAACTATTTGTGTAGTTTATTTTTTTTAATTTAATAAATTAACTATTTGTATAGTTTACCCCTTAATTACCACGTCTTAATCAATATAAACGAAAGTGGAGGAATATTATGTTTTTCAAATTCAATAAAAAATATACAAAATTTAAGCAAAAATAATCCATCCTATAATTTACCCAAAATAAACCATCGAGAAAGCTACGGCATATAAATGAGTTAGATATTTTGGGAAATGCCGGGGCCCATCCTCCACTTGATCGGTTTGGGCCAAGCTTTCATGTTCCCACACACAATCAATATTTAACAATAATCCAGAAATCCCATCTTTAAACTCTAAATAAATAATTTGTCTTTGTTCTTAATTCATAATAAATTCAAGAATTCAAACTAAAACTTATGTATTCTATCCATTTGTTTTTAATTTAAAAAATTAATAAATCTTAACCTTTTAATATTTAAAAATTCTACAGTTTAGTATTTATTCTTTTCCAAAATTGCTCGTCTTCCCCCTTAATTTTTATATTGCTTAGAATTAATCTCAATGTCTTGTATAGTGTTGAATTTGGACATTGTTTCTATTGTTCTTTGTGATACACCATGCAGGAGAGTTGCGAATAAAAATTATATGTAATTCGTTTTTTTTTTATCATACACTTAGAAGATATCAAATTTTATAATTCGTTAATGCTTTTAAAGCACTGAATGCAAGTTACACTGATTGTAGATCAATCTCATTTTCAGGTCTTAGGTTTTATTACACATGCACTTTTGTAGCGTTGTAAGTCAATCTTGATCAACCATATAATTGGTTAATATTCATTGATGAAATATTTTTATCGATGCTTTATGGTAGAGTACAGTTATCCATTTGCTGTTTTGATATGACAAACTCGTTTGATTTGAGTGTCGTAAAAAATAACTAATTGATGGATTTTTTAAATATCAAAAGTTAAATTTGTTGAATTATTTTGAATTAAAACTAAATTCATAGGATGTACAGGCTTTGAGATTGAAATTATTATTATACCATGTCATGTTAGACTTCTATTTTGATTTAACAACAACATGTTTGTAATAATATTTTAGTTGAGTGACTATATTATAGTTTTTTTTTACATTTTGACCTGTTTATAATTGAACTAATAATTTAGTGGCCTAAAGTATATTTACCCGTGAATTATTTGAAGAATATTGTTTGGTAGATGTCATGTAAACGACTAACGTACCCAATAACTTTAATTTTTTTTCCGAGAAACGTAGCCAACACCTTTCAGGCCTGAATTTACAGGTCAAGCACTGCTACTTTAGAGTCTGATATTTCTTGCCGTCGAAGTGGTTCACCTTCTATTTCAGAGTTTTTTATATTTTGGGGGACATAACTTGCTTTGCAATTTCAATTTTTAATTAATATCACATATATTCAACGCTAACCAAAATTCACCAGTGGTAGAGATGCCCATTTCTTTGACAAGTTCATTCTCCGGCGGGTTAACGTTTCCTTTACTATCGATGGTAATTAAACCGGTAGAGATTGAAATCATTTAAATATAGTAAACGACATTCAAGTAGATGTGTTTTTTGGAAATATAAGTGTATAAAATAATAGTTAGTTAAATACAAATACTAATTCATACGTACAATATTGCATGAATAAAAAAAACTAAGAGGGCCTGGAATAAGATTCCATGTCTTGGTGTCAACTAATTCAAACTATCTGGACGTGGCAACCACTCTATCTTCTTCCTTTCGCAACTACAAATAAATCCATTCTCATAGATGGATCTATATGTTCCTCCGTCACACAAACAACCCAGTTTTTCATATTCCTTCCTTTTGGCTACCGAGAAAAAATCATGGGGTGGAAGAATTTATATCAGAAAGCTACAAATTTCCTGACCCCGAAAGAATTCTTTCACCTCCTGACAATCACCATACTCAGCCTCTTAATTCCCCTCTCGTTCCTCCTCGTCGCCAGGCTTTCATGCCTCAGCTATATCTTAACAGCCATCGCTTCAAATCCTTCATCTTCCCCATCGTTTCTTTTGTCTTTCTACTTCTACACCAACCCAGCTGTTCTATATGTTGTTGTTTCAATCCTTAGCATCGCCACTCTTCTCCATGCCTTGACTGGGAAAATCAAGTTTGCAAGCGACTCACAGGAAGCTGTTTACAGGCCCCGTTTGTTCACCTCCTGGCTCGTTCTATGTACACTGCAGGTTTCCGTCGGATTCGGGATTGAAGGAAGCATAGCATTAGGAATCGACGGCGCCGGTTTCGGCGTTGAGAGGAGTCTGTTCAGTAGATTAATATTCTTCTTGGGTTTGCATGAAACAATGTTTTTCTGGTTTAGAACGGTGGTGAAACCGGTGGTAGATGACACTGTTTTTGGGGCTGCAACGCCGGAGAGGTGGGTTCATAGGGCGGCCATTGCCGTGAGCGTCGGCAACTTGTGGTGGTGGAAGCTGAGACATGAAGTTGAGTCGTTGGTGGTTGTGGCGGAAGCTAAGAAGGAGCTGTCGATGGAGATTGAGATGGCCGACTTTGTTGGGTGGTGGTTGTATTACTTGACTGTCACAATTGGAATGGTTAGAGTTGTCAAAGCACTGCTCTGGCTTGGAATTGTGCTGCTAAGGAAAAACAGAACGGATGGAACCGGGGAGGAAGATAATCAAGACAAGGTCTAAGTTTCATCCTTTCTTAATTTTTTGATTAATTATACAAAAAAAATACCTCGATTAAAATACCAATAATTGTTTTATTACAACCAATTGACTTTTTAAACATTTGCTTTCATTATTTGGACATAAATCCATTAATTAACTGTCACTAGTTGTCGTTGATAACTCAAAACATATGAAAATAGATGTTTGAACTTTCAATTAAATGTGTTACACGAACTGTAATAATTCTCAATTATCAGTACAAAGGAATTCTTTCTCCTTCATTAAAATTACAGAGGTTGTATTTTATTGTGAACTCTAATATTGTATTTGTATTTACGGCCGCTTTTATCCATGATGTTACATTTTCAAACGTAAAGGAACTAAAATATTCTTTTTGACTGGATGAACTGAAATGAATTTTTGTATAATAAAAGATATATAAAATATCTTTTTATTGTAGTGGGATTAAAATGAAATTTTAAATATAATGTAATTATATTAATATAATTTAATCATTAAAATCCTAAGAATGCCAGATTTTCTAAATAAATCTGATAATTGTTTTCATTTTGAGATACATGGAAACGTGGGAAAAAAATACAAAAGTAACCAATTGAAACATGAAAAATCGATTAAAGAACAAACTCAACAATGGCATGTGTCTTCTTGGGGTCCCCATACCAAACATATGGTTAAGATAAACCTTACCATCTTTCACAGTCGCCGCCGTGGCTAAACGATGCATAGGACCTTTGAACTTGGCCACAACAGAAGCCGTTTCCCATCCATCGGAGCACTCCGCCAATCTCCCCAAAGGGTTTCCAGCGGCAACCACAAGCTTAGTAGGAGAAATCAGCTCCAGACCATCACCGAATGATAGCGGACCTCCAGCAACTTTGATCAACTTCACTTGGTTTCCGTTGGTTCAATCTTACAACAAATCGCCACTCAAAGTATGATTCACGATCAAGTAGCCATCGGGATGGTAAACGATGCAGTTCAACCCAAATAAAATTTCAGGATGGGCACATGTCTACCCTAATATGAATGTCGATCCGCCACTTACCCTACCCAAAGCACCACAAATAAAAAAAATCGACGGTAACAGGATTCAACCAGGCTTAGACGAATACAGTTCAAAGTTTGTATTCCTTAATTTTGGTTGGATGAATATTGAATTTGATTATTGTTACAGTTACAGTTGGTGAAAATGTTTAAAAACACATACCACGGCCGCTGAGCTTGGTTAGGAAGTGCCGATCCCAGGTGGACAAGTCATAAGCGGCGAGCGCGCTATATCGGTTACCGAGCAAGTCGGCTACGGCGACGAGCAGCCGGTTTATGGGACGGTCAAGGGCGATACCTAGGGAAGCATTTCGGTCAAGTCAAAGTCTTTTACGACCGGGACCTCTTTTAGTATGACGTCGTTTGTATAATTATCAGGGACGTGGATTTCCCCGACGCCGCCTTCCATGAAAGAGACGAGTAAACGACGGCCCTGATCGTCCCACTTGGCGCATTCGCGCATGAAACCGGCGCTGTGGTAGCGGAAAACGTGGCGGTCAGTCTCTTCACGTTCTTGACAGATGATGTAAGCGATGGGAAGCGCCGATACGATGAAAAGGAAGACAAGGAACCTTGCCGATCAAAACCGAAGCGCCATGGTCTTTGTTTCTTTCTTTCGGTTCGACAATGAATTGTTCGGTTAGGGGGTTGGGTAAAGAAATAACTAAAATGAGTTTAAGCAAGGCTCATTATACATAGTATTAATATATTTTTTCAACCACCAATAAAATTATAACAAATAATATTTAATAACGTCATTATTTGAACTTATCAGTATCACATGAATTGTTTAATTGAACACATATATTAATTTCAATATTCAGTTAAACTAATAATGTGATACTGATAAATCGAAAAAATTAATTGTTTGCTTAATAAAAATAAAAGGAAAGAAGAATGGATATAAGTAGATTAGGTTGGGTGGATAGATAAGGTTGGCGAATTTCAATATTGTGGATGAATTTCGGTGATATACCAATTAAAATGAAAATAAAATCATTGGGTCAATAATTCTACCCTCTAATTTTCATGGGTTGAAGGCTTGAAGCCGAACCGCAAAATCTTATTTAAATAAATACTCAATTATGTATGTAACTTTCTTTTTATTTTAAAATAAATCATTATTATTTAATAAAACCCCATTCTCCCTATTCTCAAATTTTTTTCAGTTAAATTATTAAAATTTAGGTAGGTAAACGGACCGAATTTTCGATGAATAATCCTTGAGTTGTTCGATAGAAAGTTAGTTTATACTTGTTTATTTATTAAACGAATAAATATGAAAAAGATTTTATATTCGTTTAATTAAATGAACGGATATGGACAAAAGACTCGTTCTATAATCTGTTCGTTTATGTTTGTTTATATTAAGTCTAATCTCCAAGCCATTTAAAAATTAAGACCTAATAAATTTTAACCTTTTATCGGTTAATATTTTAAAATTCAACTAGTTTTAAACCCAAATAAAAACCCCCATATCAATTAATGAAAATATAAACCCCTAAAATTATTTGGAAAGAAGAAACTCATCTCATATATAAATCCAATTAAATTTATGTACGTTCGTTTACATTTGTTCATTTGTTTTCATTTATCATTTTAATGAATAAAAATGAACGAACACGAACAAAAAATTTGTTCGTTTAGTTGTTTGTGTTCGTTCATTTGTTCGATTAAAGTTGAACGAACGAACATGAACATACTCTTGTTCATGTTCGTTATATTCGTTTACGGATCTATTAAAGTTGTATGTTTGAGTTATATAATTTAAAATTGTAAATTTATTAGTTTTAATCTTTTTAATTTAAAAAGGAAATCAAAATTAATTCCGAATTCTTTAATATCCGAACGAATAATGATCGATCTTTGCTTTTGTAAGTATATTAGGTTGCACCACCTAGAAAAGGAGGATTTCATTTCAAGTGGAAACCACCAAGAGAGGCTGAGAGTAAGAGCTGCTCCGATTAGGCCGTAATCCAACACAAAGACAACAATCCAAGTGAGAAGAATGTGCACCAGAAATACCCCATCCGCCATATAAACCAAACTGTGAGAAGAACGTGCAGGCTTAGGTGCAATGATCCATTTTTGGAGTTTGACTAACAAAGACAACAGTGATGGCGATAATAATAAGTGGGTGATTGGTCGACAACGATGATAATAATAATGATAACCGATGATGATTGATAATAGAGATTTGAAATTAAAGGTTTTGAAATTTGTAGGTGAATTTAGATAAATTTGAGATTTATTTTAAATATATATATGAGTTTCTCTTAAATAAAATTTTTAAAAATATATAAATGTAACACATATATTACGACGTAAGTACGTAAAAGAGTAATTTCAAAAATGTTAGGTACTTTTTTTAAGCGAAAAATACTTTAGAAACGTGAAGTGAGTAAAAGTTATAATTTGAGCAAAGCATATAGTGAGCGAATAATATTTGAGTTTTGGGGTTCAAGCGTATCATATGTTAGGTTGTTTGAGTGTAGTTGTGAATCTAAAAATGGTTTTTAGAGTGGGCACACACATATATTAATTATTGAAGGGTGGGTACAAATAAATTTCTATATGGACACTAATAATAAAATTTACAACTTTAAGATTGAGCACATGCCTCTCTTGGGGATGCTTTGCTTTCATAACTGTTTGAGTGTTCATGTCAAATGAATTGATACTCTTCTGAACAGATACTACTTCGTAATTACCTTTAGATTAATAAAAAATATTTGTGTTATGATATTATGAATTAAATAAAATAAATTAAAAAATCATTTTATAATAAATATTAATAATATTTTATTTGGATTAATAGATTAAAGTAATGAAAAATTGTGTATAATTTTTTATTTTTTTATGAATAAATTAGGTGTATTTGTATTTTTTTTTGTAATAGTAATATAAGAAAGACAATCGGCAGTGGGGACCACTATATATTTAACATTCCAATAAGTGGTTAGTCGCAATTATTATTTATTAAATCCAAAATTAAGCAAAGAACTGATATTCCCATGAAATATCTCGACTTTTCTCCGATGTGGGAATTCCTTGTTGGTCCAAAGATGATAAGAAATGTGTGTTCAGCTGCTACAAGAGTTTCAAATTAAAAACCCTTCTTCTATCGTCTCATTTCCTTAAAACCTTGCATAACCCTTCTTCTCTCAAACAAGCAACAATGGCAACCCTATCTAGTCTCAGCCTCGTAGCCCCAAGAGCCATAGCCAACGCACCGGACTCAAAAAACGGTGGCCCCGTCAAGATCCCGTACCTTAACCAGCCCTGGAAAAGGGTCTTCCAGATGAGGTCTAGACCGATGCAGGTAATGAGACCAGCGAGGGCTGCCCCTGATAGAATTTCGGAGAAGGTGGAGCAGAGCATCAAGGAAGCGCAGGAGTTGTGCTCCGACGACCCGGCGAGCGGTGAGTGTGTGGCGGCGTGGGACGAGGTGGAAGAGCTCAGTGCGGCAGCCAGCCACGCCAGGGACAAGCAGAAAGATAGCGATCCGTTGGAGAATTATTGCAAAGATAATCCGGAGACAGATGAGTGCCGCACTTACGATAATTGAATTATTATGGTGTCCTTTTCCATTTTAGTTGTGTAAAACGTTTTATTTGTTAATGTGAAACTTAACATGTTACTGGTTTTAAATGATGAAATCCTATACCACATGCAATTAATGGAAGAAGATAAGTTGGCAATTTAAAAGAGATTTTAGATATATGCATACCTATTTTAAGTTTTATCCACCAGCATCATAACAAATTTTGAAGGCTTTAATCCATGGGTTTTATTCTGCAATCTGCACCCATATCCTCTTGTTTTCGGGAAAGATTCGAGATTTATTTGCGGAAATTCCCAGTTATTATATTCAAAGGCAAGGAAGACTTTATTGAAAATCTATGGATAAATTTCATTTGAGTTTACTTTTGAGTAGAAGTGTTTTGAAGATAAGTTTATAAAAAAAAATGTTTATAGAAGATAAAATATAACTTTTGTGAACCTATATATTTTCAAATAGGGTAAACTATTATTAAATTTTAAGTAAGTTTTCGTTTTCTCCATTAAACTTTAGAAAGTTATTAATTGATCATTAGCATTATCGATTTATAATAAATCGATCACTTACCGTTAGTCAATGTTAACATAAGTGACGAAAAGTTGAGCTGGACTGTTAACCGTTGACATGGACCGCTTGAGTGCACTAGAAAATTGGTGAAGAAGAAGAGTTTGACTGTTAACCACTCACATAGAGTCATTGAATTTTCGCTCTCTTCTTTCTCCTTCCATTCCATGTTCACTTCTTCTTCTTCTTCACCCATTTCCTAATGCACAGAGAAAATATATAATGAAATAAAGAAAAAAAAACATAATTGTGTAAGCAGTAAATTAAACAACTATAAGCAATTAATGAAACTGTTGCATTAAAGTGGTTCATCCCACGCCCTTGCACAATCCCACTTTTGGCATTTCCATTTTTATGGACGTGGGGTGGGGAGTGGTTTGGAATTTAAGTGGTTTTTGATGGCCAAACCACATTATAAATATGAGACATAACGAAGGTTCCTAAGCACCAAAAACATTCAAAGCATTTCCACATTTTAAAGAGTTGGGAATTTACTATATCTAAGTGAGGTTTTGAGTGCTTAGAAGATCCTTAGCGCTTCTAGCTTTGTGCAGTCAAGTTCGAAGTGCTTGACGGTGATTCATGGTGGTCGACAGTGGTCCGACGTAATTGTGGTGCATTTAGTTCTTGGATTTTGACATACAGTGTAAGCAATGGTTGAAGGTATTTATAACGATTTCTTTTCCGCTGCGTTTATGCTTAATGTAGATGAAAGCATGTCTAAAAAATGGCTCACTCTTTTTGTGGGTTGTTGATGAGCTTTTAATAACGCCGAGGAGATAATTAACGAGTGGCAAAATCCATGTGACCCTCAAATCAAATGGGTTCTTTCTAGACTGGAAATTTGCGATGGCTGTCTGCTGTCGTGGAGTTGAGGTTCATACAAGAGATATCATTCAATTTGACTAATTTACTTATTGAAGAACTGAATACAAATATCTTCATATTTATTTTTTACTATATTTCCCGTTTACAAGTGTGCCAGCTTTATAGCTGGTGTTGAGCTAATAACTGCTCTAACAATCTAACAAATTCTGGCGCCAAATCTAACCGAAACTAACCGCATGCTATTAGCCATGCTGTTGTACGTGCACGTCTACAGCTAACATTCCCTCTACTCTTTTCTTCTTCTTTTTAACTGAGACAATGTTACAGTCCTGGTACAACACACACATTGCGGCGAAATTCTTCAAATGTAGACTTGGAGAGCGGTTTGGTGAAGCCATCGGCTATTTGATGCCCAGCTGGTATGTAGTTAACCCTCAACTGACCAGCTGCAACCTTCTCCCGAACGAAGTGTATATCGAGGTCTATATGCTTCGATTGAGCATGATACACGAGATTAGCACTCATGGCTACTGCTCCTGTGTTGTCACACCAAAGCACTGGCTCTCTCAACTGCTGAAACCCCAAATCTATAAAGAAATAGCTCGTCCAAGCGACTTCAGCTGTTGCGTCAGCCAAACTCTTATATTCAGCCTCCATTGTGGATCGAGATACGGTTTTATGTTTCTTTGAACTCCATGCAACTAAACATTTTCCAATGAACACACCATAGCCAGAGATTGACCTTCGATCGTCTACGTTTGCTCCCCAATCAGCATCTGCAAATACTGATACAGTCAGTTCTGCATTGCTTGCTTGAAACATTAACCCGTAATCTATCGTACCAACCAGATATCGAAGGATTCGCTTGACTGCAAGCCAATGCGTTTCTCGTGGTGCATGCATAATTACGCCACCTTTCCCACACTATAGGACAAACCAGGTCGGGTGTCACATAAGTATAGTAATAACCCTACTACGCTGCGGTATTCACTTGCATTCGGTAGTAACTCTCCAGCATCCTTTGACAGCTTTGGTGCCAGAATCATTGGTGTATGGCAAGCAGTTGCCCTTGTCATGTTTGTTTTTTCTAGCAACTCTAGCACAAACTTCTTCTGATTCAAGAAGAGACATTCACGGGAGCGATGAACTTCAATTCCCAAGAAGAAATGAAGTGCACCAAAATCCTTAAGCGAAAAAGTAGCACTGAGTAACTAAACTACTGCTTGAATTTCACACGACGAGGGCCCCGTAATGATGATATCATCAACGTATACTAATGCAAACACATTTCTAGTACCTCGTTTACAAACAAAAAGGGATGCATATGCTTGTGATGCTGTAAAACCCATCTGTACAAGGCTGTTGTGGAGCTTAGCGTGCCAATTCCTGGGCGCTTGGCGCAGTCCATACAAGGCCTTTTGAAGCTTGCAGACCAGTGTAAATCCATCTTCAGCAAATTGTTCAAATCCTGGTGGTTGTTTCATGAATACGTCATCAGTAAGATCACCATTGAGGAAGGCATTGTTCACATCAATGTGTCTCAATTCCCAGTTATTAGACACTGCTAGTACCAAGATTGCATTAAGGGAGGCGAACTTAACAACCGGGCTGAATGTATCGAGGAAATCATGTCCTGGTATTTGCGAGTAGCCTTTCGTATCTAGTCGTGCCTTATAGCAGTGTATAGAACCATCTGGGTTACGCTTTAGCTTAAACAACCATTTGCACCCAATAGGAGCGCGACTTTCTGGCAATTTGACCAGTTCCCACGTATTATTCCTTTGAAGTGCTTCGAACTCGGCTTGCACTGCCTCCTTCCACTCGGTCGTCTGTAGCGCCTCTTGTACCGAGGAGGGTATCTCATTATCAAAATGAATAGAATACAACTTGGGTTTGTAAATACCACGTTTACTGCGTGTTATCATCGGATGATGATTTTCCATCACCGGTAAAGTAGGTGCAACAGTAGGTGACACCAATTCTTCATGCTCTCGATTTGAGCTAGTTACTGTATCAGTATCATTTACAACAGGCACATTGAATTCTGCCCCCGAGCCAGCAGTAGGAATTGACCCTTCACCTTGTGAGGTCCCAGCATTGTTGTTATTTGTTTCAACCATATTCTGGTACTGTTGTTCATCACTGTCCTCAGTAACTGCAGTACCCTGATGGTTTGTAGGCATAGTGTCAGGACTCAACTTCCTTACATCAGCTACAATCGGAATTTTTTCAAGCAAACACCCTGCGAACCACGTGATGAGCAGACTACGTTTTTTTCTGCAAATGAAAAAACAGATTCGTTAAATACCACATGCCTAGAGATGTAAACTCTACCATTGTTTGCCAAGCACTGGTAGCCCTTGTGTTGAGGGCTAATGCCAAAAAATATGCAGGATTGTGATCGAAAACATAGTTTGTTATTCTGGAAGGGTTTGAGATGCGGAAAGCACTGGCATCCGAAGACCTTGAGGGAAGCATAATCCGGTTTTCTTTGAGTCAAATTCTCGTATGGTGTAATCCCTCCAAGCACAGCTGTTGGAAGACGATTTATGAGGTGAACAGCAGTTACGAAGGCATACGACCAGTATTGCATAGGTAACGAAGCTTGGGCCAACAATACAAGACCTAACTCAACGACATGGCGATACTTGCGTTCGACCACCCCGTTTTGCTCGGACGTGTGAGGGCAGGTCAATCAGTGCACTATCCCGGATTTAGCAAGTAAGGCAGAAAACACCCGATATTCTCCACCCCAATCTGATTGCAAAGCTTTAATCGAGCCACCGAATTGATTTGCAACTAACTTGTGAAATCCCTTGAATGCTTCAACTGCTTGAGCTTTATCTTTGAGTAGATAAAGCCAAGTAAAACGAGTAAAGACATCTATAAACGTTACATAATATCGATAACCCTTCGAAGCAACATGGGGAGGTCCCCAAAGATAAAAAAAAATTAGCTCAAATGGTGCACTGTATTGGGTACTTGATGAAGGAAACGGTTGCTTGTGACTTTTACCCATAAAGCAAGCCACACACGTTTTATTAATATCAAGGTCAAGCCTTACATCAAGTTCTTTTGCAACTGTACTAAACGCACAATTAGCTGGATGCCCCAACCGTCGATGCCACAGCTCAGATTGAGAGGTAAATGCAAGGTTAGCTTCAGCAGTCTTCTTTTCTGCATCAAGCTCGTTCAGCGAAAACACATATAAACCACCTTTCTCTACGCCTTAAAGTAAGATCGCCTTGGAACGTTCATCACGAACAAGACATCTTTCAGCATGGAATTCAAGATAAACCTTGTTGTCCCTAGCAAGCATGGATACGGAAAGCAAATTTTTGGTTATATAAGGTACATGTAACAACTCATTTAAGATCAGGGTTCTTGACGAGTCAGTAGTAAGAGAAAGTTGAGCAGTACCAATGTTATGAATATCAATGGAGGCCCCATTTCCAATAGAGTGTTTACCTGGACCTCGAAATTCAGTGGTGTTAGAAACATTTGCTGCATCTGGGGTAATATGATGCGTGGCTCCAGAGTCGACTACCCAGTGGTCATTGACTCTAGAAGCAATGTTGGCTTGCATACTGCCTACTTCTTGAGAGTGGCCCTTGCAGCATTCACAGCCGAGGCTCGAAGTATCAGCAGCCGAGTAATGAGCGTTGATAGACTAACCTTTGCGAGTATTGTGAGTTTGAGAGTCAAACGTCACACACATAAATTCCTCATCAAACTGGTGCCAGCAACGATCGACCATGTGACCAACTTTGCCGCAAAGCTGGCATTGAACTTTGGCTCGGCCTTGACCTTGACCACCAGTTCTGTTGGCAGTCGATGAGCGTATGTTTTTAGAGTCTCGACGCCCATTAAAAGACGAGTCATGAACTTCATTTCTTTCAGTTATATTGGCAGCTATAGGTACATGGTCTAATTGCTCATTAAACCCGGTCAGTTGTGCTTCAGCATCTAACAGAACAGTATGTAAACTATCCAAAGATAACGTTTCCTTCATTGTGGTGATGACAGCCATAAATGGTTGATATTCCCTGGGCAGGCCTTTCAAAATGCTTGCAACATGGCCAACGTGTGAAACAGCGCTGCCACACGATGCTAGTGCGTCGCACACTTCCTTCACTCGAGTTAGGTATACCCGCATACTGTCATTGCCTTTCTTGAGTGACTGTAGTTTGCAGTGCAAGCTCATGGCAGCAGTAGTGGACCTGCTCGCAAAAAGTTGTTGAACAACATTACACACATCAGCTGTAGATTCAGCACCCACAAAGTGAGGAAGCAGGGGAGAACTGATGGTTGATAGAAGCCAGGAGGCCAGCGTACTATCCTGCGCTACATAATCTTCGAATGCATCATTGGCGCGAGTTACCCCAGAGTCATCGAGTATTGTCTCCGGTGGTGGCCTGAGCACTCCAGTTAGCAGACGTTCAAGTCGGTGGCTCCTTACCGTGAGCGGGATTTGCTGCTTCCATAGTAGGAAATTCGTCTCATCAAGAACGACATTGATTCTCTTGTGAGAGAAGCCGATACGTGTGAACGACTCCATGAAGCTCCAAGCCAAGATGCACAGTCACAAGGCGTGAATTAAGAAACCCAATATCGATTGGCGAAAGATACCATATTGAAGAACTGAATACAAAGATCTGTATATTGATTTTTTACTATATTTCCCGTTTACAAGTGTGCCAGCTTTATAGCTGGTGTTGAGCTAATAACTGCTCTAACAATCTAACAAACTCTGGCGCCAAATCTAACCGAAACTAACTGCATGCTATTAGCCATGCTGTTGTACATGCACGTCTACAGCTAACATTACTGCACTAGTTATGGGTTAAATGATGATTTCTTCTATGATCCTATATATTTGATTTATTTCTAACTATATCGCCATCAAAGTCTACAATACTGTAAAAGCTCAAATAGTCTTCAACTTCATGTTTTCATGTTCTCAAGTAATATTTACCATGAAAACATTCAGCTCAAGCTAAATATCATGAAATGAGGTTGCTTATTGTAAAGCTCAATGGTGTATAGACAATATCAGTTTAAAGATTTAAGCAGTAATCTTAAGACCTAAAATCTTTCATGTACAACACTCATCGATATTGGGATCCAAATGAGCAAATATTTCTTTTGCAAGCAGACGAGGAAAAATGCACTTTTCATTCACCAAATATATAATAAGGGATTATGGAAGCTATTGATTTTATATTTATTTGTTAGATGTTTGATTTCATCTCCGACCATTTGAGTAATGACTCTTCAAAACTGTGGATATGTCAGCTTCAGAAGTACTAACAAGCTTGAAGCGTTCAACTGCGGTGTCAAGATTCTCTTTCCAACCATCCATTCTTAATCTGCAATCAACTCGAGATCGTTCAAATAGCATGTTACCCGGAAAATATGTATTTGAGATCTCACCACAGCTGCTTGTTCAGCTACTTACCCAGTGGAAAGCTCACCTTGATTTCCAGTTCCAAGGATCTCATTTTCGACGGTGTTTCTGGATTTCTCTCTTCTCTTTCACAACTCTTCCTTCTTGCTTGAATTTGGATCTGTCAACTCATTAAATGTATGCTGCTCCGACTACTCCCATATTTCTGTTGTGTGTTTCATCTTCTCCTCCACACCACACTGTCGAACATTTGAAATATTTCTGCAAGATTCCAGGTCGAGAGGTCTATTTTCTTTGCAAGTGTAATAAACCAATTAAGCTTGACCGTTTCGAGTTGTTGTCGTCCCAATGTCAACCTCTCTTCATAAAAGTCAAGTTCGATTAATATTGCTTCAGTTAGCATACTTCTCTTTGGCCACATAATACTTTTCTTGAACCCAATCGTAAGTCATTTGAAGTTTTTCTAACAGTACTAACTCCTTTCCTACAGATTCATCTAACAGAATCTTAATCAAACCTGACTCTTAAGTGGAGAGGTAAGAGAGATGAAGTAGAACGTGGAAGAAGAACGAGAAAGAACACTATTCAAAAGCTTTGGAAAGTCAAACGTGTGGTAAAATGGGCTCAAGTAAGCGGTTCAGCATTCTGTCACCTACATTAACGGTGACTATCAATGAGTTCGATTTGTTATAATTCGATAATTTTAATGATCAATATGTAACTTTTAAAAGTTTAGTGTGGAAAATGAAAATTTACTCAAACTTTAATGACATCAGTGTAGTTTACCCTTTTAAATATTTCTTAAAATAGATAACATGATCTATATAAACTATAGACAATTATAAATTATCAAATAAACTCTGATAACAAATTAAAGTTAAAAACGTAATTTAAATTTTAACCGTAAAATATGTTAATTTTAATTTACATTTGAGTTAAAAATCATATATTTTTTCTTCCAAAGCTTTGTCTCTTTAATATTGTTTATTATCCAAAAATACTTTCATCCTTAGGAATATTTTTCAAATATATTTTCAATATTGTTTATTATCCGAAAATACTTTCATCCCTAGGAATATTTTTCAAATATATTTTTTTTAAATAGTTTGAATTGATTACAATGTAGTATCTATTAAAAATATTTCTTAGTACGTTAATAATACACTCTCTATAGATATAATTGCTTAAAGAAAACAATATTCTTTTTTGGGTAAAGTACACAAATGGTCCACCGGCTATAGCATACTACTTTATTTAGTCTCTCAACTATTAAAATGTACAAAATCATCCCTTAATTATAAAGAGTTATTTTATTGAGTCCCTTGATTATTAAAAGTTACAAAATGGTCACCTCACTATTCATTATGTTCTAAAGTCGTATTTTTCCGTTACAAAATTGACAACAGTTTGAATTAGACGTTAACCCATTGATTGAGATGTGATTAAATCTAATTTCATAATCTCAAACGACTATCATATCTCATTCTGCATGTTAGCATTAAGCTCAAACGATTGTTAATTTTTTAACGAAAAATGACAAATTTGGATTAATAGTCGAGGGACTCAAAGCAACTCTATATAGTCAAGGGATCATTTTATAGTTTTTAATAGTCATGAGACTTAATAAGATAATATTATATAGTCAGGAGACCATTTGTGTATTTTACCCTTCTTTTTTATCACCAAAAACGTTGATTAAATATAAAACGAAATGAACCTTAAATGCAAATACATTTATCATGAAAATAATAAGAGACACATTAAAGATTCGTATAGAATGCTGATGTGGCTCAATGATTGTGGCAGTTCGAGGGAGAAAACAATTATTGAGATTATATGAAATCTGCATTATTGTGAAGATAAGGCAAGATCCAAAATTTTATTTTATTAGGAGTTGTCGAAATCGTTGAGTATGGGTAGTGATCGGAACAGTATGATAATTTTTTTTAATCAACGCACTTGTCCGTCACAGCCATGTTCTATTAGTTTGTGGATGAGAATTGGGAACTTAAAACCAGAGCATAACAGCTGTTATCCTGATGTTCATGAACCGCCACCAAGCCGATTGATCACCTTCTCAATCTTAGATCCGTTCAAAAACTTCCTACCTAATGGTTGATCCGTAAACGCCATTCACCACAAAAATGACAGTCCCCTGCGCATGTCAGCTTGAAGAGCTAAGACAATGTAACCTACAATCGCCTAACCCATAATCCTCCAAGAATCACAACATCCGAACGACCAAGCAGAACAAGCAAAACAACATCCACCTTACCATTATCACACCATAGCAAATCATAAGCTTAAACCTACGTCTCACTCAACAGCAACCTTTTTCAAGTTAATATCATTGTTCAATCATCAAAATGAACAGGTAATGACAAATATTTTGACAACGATGAACAGCCATTGCATTTAAAAACTACATTTTTGACACCATGATCGTGCATCTCGTAAGTAGATATAAATTGACAATTAGTGGATGACGTATGATAAAAAAAATAAGCTCACCCCATTCTCATATGTAATAGGGTAAGAGAAAGTAGGATAGAAGGCAATTATGAATTGACCACGACTCGATCAACTATAAGGTTAGAAGCCTTGTGTTCTACCAACTGAACTAGACGGCCAATTATGACGTATGATAAAGCAATGTATATAATTTATTCTCAAGCAAACTACATCCAAATTCATGTTTCCACATAGTACAAAAGCTTTTCTACAAAACCCAAACTCTCGGTTCAGTACACTGCAAATTGACATAAACCTAATAATAGTAACAGAAACAGAGGAAGAGAGAAGGAAAAGATAACATTAAGGAACAATAAACAAGTACAGACTCCAACAAGGAAGAAGAGTCTATCCATCAACACTCGAACATATCAACCGAAGCCATAACTGGCTGTATCGGACAGGGGAGTTGCCACGGCTTCAACAGAGGATCAGGAATTTCCGGGATATCAATGTCGTAACCCCCTACTTCTTCCACTATGTGCAGCACCGAATTCAGGGACCGCAATCTCTCGGTCAATTCCATCGCCTGAGCTCTTAAAACGTTGTTGGACGATTGCATCTCGACGTAGCGTTGAGTGGTGACGCCGATCTTTTCAGAGATCTGCTTGTTCCCTTTCTGCAATGCGCTTACTTCCTCAACCAAATCTTCGAGCTGCTTTTGCTTCCTCATCCGTGATCGCCGTGCTGATTCCCGGTTTGAAAGCATTCTCTTCCTTTTCCTCTCATCGATGTTCACATATCGCGGGTCTGAATCGGATGAAGTCGCTGATCCTTGCGCAGAAGCCATCTCAAGAGAAGTGTTCAGTCTTTCTTTTACCCCGGAGAATATTTAATATGAATTAACAATTAGAATGATGATGAATGATTTCTAATTCTCAGTAGCCAGAAAACCTAACTAGAGGTTAGATCCAAATGAAGAGATTGATGAACAAGGAGGGTGAGCTAATTCATGAGAAAACGTAGAACCAGTAAAGGAAGACGACTGAGAACGAGTGAAGAATACGGATTCGACGCATCATTGGAATGATTTCATAAAATGATTTGGACTAGTAATCCGCAGATTTGACATGAACAAAACAATCGAAAAATAACAAAGGAAAAACACAAAAAAAAATCCTAGATCTAAACCATAACTACAGATAAAATTAAAAAAGAAAAACAAAGATAGCGAAGAGAAATAAGGAAGAAGAAAGATTAAGAAAACAAATAAGAATACTTATCTGGATGGAGATAATAGCACACTGGACGGGAGCGAATGGAAAGAAGGCTTAAAAGGATGGGGGAGGGGGCATTTTATAGGGAAATGACGCGGGGTTTGATTAGGTTAAGTGGGTAAAAAATAATAATTAATATGAGGCAGAGGGGTATTTAAGGTATTTTAACTATTTACCTTTTGAAACAAGATGCGGGTTCGGTGTCACCGCTGGCGTGCAAACTGACGCCAGCTTTACATTCTAACGCTTTCTTTGCACTTTCCAGTCTCTTTTGTTTTTTGGAATATTCCATGTGGATATTCCATTTTACTTGATTTTTAAAAAGTTTAATAGGTAATTTTTTGGGATAAATTACACACTTATTACTAAAGTTTACTCTTTCTTCTATTTCACTCTCCCCACTTTAATTTTTTCAATTTATTCACTAAATTTTATTACATTTAATAAAATAAAATTCATCAAACATTAATATTAATAAAAAAATGAAAATATATATACCATATAAAGGGCTCGAATCCCAGCAGGCACATATCATATTTTTTTGTTTCTTGCGGCAGAATCGCAGCCTTAGATCTTGATAGAATCAGAGCTCAAATTGTGCAAAATCCATCATGAACGCAGATCACCGTTCAATCAATATCGCGAAGTTATGCCTGGCTACATCGTATTCATTGAATCAACATTTTCCCGCCAAAAACACCCTTCGTTCCTCATCTTGTTTCCGCCAAAACCTCACTTTTCTTCACCGCCTAATACCCATTTACTCCCTCACATCTCCTTCATCCCTCTGTTGCTCGCTTCCTCTCTATCTCTTTACACACATTCAGTGAAGTGGAACTTGAACTTGAGCCATGAAGGGCCTCGAATTCAGTGCAGATGAAGGTACTTTCCTCCCCTATCCCTCTTTCAATCTCTTCTGCATTACTTGTTGCCTGATTTTCGGCTCCCCCCTAATGTCTTCACGGCTCTCGCCAAAGAATTCCTATCAAATTTCGCAGACGCAAATAGCGAGGCAAAGTACAAGAACATCCTCGTGAGTCTCCCCCTTCCTTTCTCGTCATCCTCACCAATTCAAAACCCTAGATCTATTTTTTCTTCTACTTGAAAAAAAGAGTATTCTTAGTGTGCATATTTTTAGTTTTCTTGCCTTATTATCTTTTAACCCTAATCATTTTCTCAATTTCAGAAAGAAGTCGCGAATCATAAAATTAAAGCAGTACAGATCGATCTTGAGGACCTATTTAATGTATAATTTTTCATATTTTCCTTTTAATTTATTATAGGATTTATTTATAAGAAAGTACTAATTTAGTTCATTGAATGCTAATTCCGTTTTTACAGTATAAAGACTTGGACGAGGAATTTCTGAGGCGAGTTACGGAGAACACTCGAAGATTACATTGAAATTTTCGCAGGTGCAATTGATGAGCTTTTGCCGGAGCCCACTGAGACCTTTCATGATGATGATCATGATATATTGATGACACAGAGTGGAGAGGACGCAACCAATAATCCTGATGGGTCTGAACCACGTCAAAAGATGCCTCCGGAGATTAAACGTTACTTGTAAGCTTCAAGAACAAACTTGTTCACTCATGATGCATTTAAACGTGTCCTAAATTCTTCAGTTGGAAAATAACGCATATTTCTGAGTTTATGTTGGTGCTTTAGTTTTGTAGGTTCTTCAATCAGATATCATTCTATTGTGAGAAATGATCCATAGAGTTGAGGTGTAGGAAAGAGTTTATATAATTAAACCATTGGAATGAAACAAGGTTTTCCCCTCACTTTTTTGTCCGCTTACATTGTAAATTCAAAAGTTTGTTATGGCAATTGATAGCTACTTATTCCCTTTAAAAGTGGACGCCGAAGAATTGGTGTGTGTCGTAACCGTCTTTCGGTTGGGTCCCGGAATTGGACTTCGACTTGAAAAATATAGATTGGAGTCGCCACCGATCATTTATTTAAAAATAAATGGGTTGATCGGATATCCTATTTCTTACCTGATCTGCGTCTTAACAGAAATATGTCGGGCTCGGGAGTCGGTTACGGTCAAGGAAGGATTAGCACCTTTGAATCGTCCTTTTGGTATTACATAATTTCCAGTTGTCTTAATTAAGAAAAATAACAAGTTAAATTAAAAGGTAAAGTTTCGATCTCAATTACTTATCCTTGATTGATTTGAAATTACTACTAAAAAAGGTCTAAATATGTTAGATAATAAAATAAAAGAAATATTGAACAAAGATTAATTAAATAAAAAAATCAAAGGAGGGAAAAACTAAAAAACTAAAATAAAAATGTTAGATTTAAAAGGGAAAAACGTTTAGGAAATAATAGTAATTTTATATAAAAAAGAAAATTAAAAAGGCTAAAAGAAAAAGGTTGAAAAGTTGAAAAAATTAGAATAAAAATTGAAAAGGTTGAAAAGAAAGTTAAAAAAACGTGTAGAACATATATATATATATATATATATATATATAAATATAAGAAATCTAATAAATAAATTTAAGAAAAACAAACAAAATACCATCACTTCACGGAAACGTGAAGTTTTGGTCAGATAGAAGACAAAAGGGAGATCCTAGAAAAATGGTATTTCAAAGGTTAGGTTAGATATATATATATATATATATAATAATAATAATAATATAAAATAATAATAAAGACAAAAGACTAAAAAAGAAAAATAATATAATATAAAAAATAAAAAGAAAAATACACTTATATATAATTATAAAATATAATATTTAAATAAAGAAATAAATAAAATAATTAAAAATACATATATATTAATAATAGGTATATAAATAAAACATTTAAAAATATATGTATACATAACAAAATAAATAAAATAATAAAAATAATATAAGGGTTAAATTGAATAAAAAAGAAAGTTGGGTGGCGAAATTGAGATATAACTGGCCTTAAAATCGAATTAATGGAGCGAAAAGAATGAATTAAAGCGAAGGGGGACTAAAACTGGGATTAACCCAGTTTTGTTCGAAAACGTGCGGATCTGGCCCCTGGGTCGGGTTAACACGCGGACCCTGAATGGGTAAATGGGTCACGTATATAAGCCATTGTTTTGGCTTGATAGTTTCATTTTCTCTCCTCTCGCTGAAGCTCTCGTCTCCTTCTCTCGTTCCCTCTCGTCTGTTCATCAAGCAGGATGAACACCGTCGCTGGTTCCCAGATTCCGGTGATCCCTCCGCCTCGCCGCCGTCGTTGGTCGGCGGCGACCGTCGTTCATCGGCGGCCAAACACAAAAAGGTAAGCTTTTTCCGAAAGTTTTCGGCCCCCTAGTTTCAAAAATGAGTTTTGTTTTCTTAAAATCGTGCCTCGGGAGGCTAGATCTGAGTAAGATCTTTCGACTGCCCTCCTTCGTTCATCGGCAAAATCTCATTTTCCCTTTGCGTTTTTGACTAAAAATCAAGAGAAAAAAAAATAAAAGAAAGCCACTTGCAAGTTGAACCGAATCAGAGGTAAAAAGAAAATAAACTTTTTATTTCTTCTGTTGTCGAGCGATTACAAGACCTGTACTTTATGTAGTATGCTCTCTGATATCTTCATACGTGATATTGTATGTTTGTGTGTGTGGTTGTCACGTAGTGATCTTGTGTTCCAATCCCCCCCAACTGTGTTCTGATTACATGATTTTATAGTCAAAACTATTGGCTCTTTTTTAGAGTTTAATCTCGCGTAGAACATTAATATTGTGTTTGTTGTTTGCACGTTTGTTGGAGAGGCCCCACGTTCGCCGGGGTTGTTGCGTGAGAATCTGTGTGGACTCGTGAGGCAAGGGATGCGGTGCTCTCATGGAAAAAAAAGGGAACCCTAGCTGACTCCTATTGTGGACCGTTGGATCACATCTTGATCCAACGGTCAAGGCGTTTGGCGGCTGGGACAGCAGATGTTTGAGTTTCTGGAAACCCTACCCGATTTGGGGCTTGGGCCACCTGTACTGGGCCTTCTGGTCTGTTGAAGACGGGCCATTTGTAAGACCTATTGTGTTGTAAAGGCCTGTTACACAAAAAAAATGTAAATGTATTAGTTTAAAATAATAATACTGATATAATATATATATATGTAATATATAATATATAATATATATATATGTTCTTTCGATCAAGAAAAGTGTGTCTACAGCTGCCTCTCTTTGCCCATAGTCGTGTAACGAGGATAGGGCAAAGATTAAAAGACACACTTTTCGGCCACATCGAATATCCTCTGCCGTAGAGTTGAAATCCGATATGAGAACTGGTTTGTCAATATGAATCACGAGATGACCCCCTCGTCGTGAGGTTGAGTTAAAACTGGAAAATTTTGAGCCTGAATCCTTCGTCGTGAAGTTGAAATCGAACTCAGAGTACTGGAGGTAGCTCATGGATTGTCTTCTAGCCAAAGATACTTCGTTGTGAAGCTGAAACTCGACTTGAAGACTTCGGTGTTGCTGTTACAGATGACTCCTTCGTCGTGAAGTTGGGTCAATCTGTTTGTGAAATTGAGCCTTGTAATTGGATATCCTTCGTCCTGAAGTTGAAATCCAATGTAAGTTGTGCTGTTTCGAGGCCAATATCTTT